ATACATTTATACAGAATAATCCCATTTAATTACAATATTATAAAGGCAAATATCAAACTTCAACTTATGTACATGGACCACAGACCGGCATATATTTACTTTGTGGGGTGGCCAGGCTACTCATTAATACATAGAGACAGCTAGGCCAGCAACGGTAGCATATTGAAAGCTAAGTAAGTACCTACTCCCTTAAATTAAACCCTAGAAAACAGTATTTGACACATAAAAATCAATAACACATTAAAACCATTAAACCACTCTCGGAAACCACTCGACGCTCGTTGTTTTGTAAGATACATATCATCATACATCTAGAAGTAAAGGGTGTTAATAAAGTCCGATCCCATGAATTTTTTGGAGCGCGGTTGTTACAAATTCAGCTGGAACTTTTGAACCAGTGAAGTTATTTATTTCAAATTTTTACCATGGGAGGAACAACTAAACGTGTAAGTCATGAGCATCTTAGAGTTAAGATACAAACATTGCATCAGCAGGGGTTTAAACCTACAGAAATTGTGCAAAAATTGGGCTGCAGCCGCAGAACTGTTTGGAAATGGAAGAACAAAAATTTTGTCCACGACAAAAAGCGACCCGGGCGACCCAGAAAGGTGTCACCTACCACAAAGAGAATGATTAAAAACAGACTTTACAAGAAAACCGGTAGTTCATTACGTAATTGTGCAAGGGAGTTAAATGACTCAAAACGCTATAAAGAGAAGAAGAAGCAAATTAACTATGTGACCGTGCAAAAATTTGTGAAATCTACGAGGTGGGGTCACACAGCTTACAAACTAACCAAAAAACCTCTCATGTCACAAAAAAATATCGATGACCGTCTGAAATTTGGAGAACTCCTTCAGAAAAGTGGCCATTTGAGTGAAAAAAGACTTGGTGAAGAATTGCGCAGTCACATCCTTTGGACTGACGAATCTATTATTGAGCTATATCCAAAATTGAACCAACAAAATGTTCGTTACAGGACAGAAAACAAATCGGATGTACCATCAAGAGCAGTCCCAAAATTCGGGCTTAAAGTTATGGTAGCGGGTGGATTTTGTGCACGTGGCGTGACTCCTCTACATATCATACCAAAAGGCCAAACAGTCAATGCAAAGTATTATATGGAAAAAATATTACCTATCTATTTCGATAGCATGGGGAACAAGGAAATATTTCCGAATGAAAGAAAAATAGTTTTCATGCAGGATGGTGCTACAGCCCATACAGCAAAAGCGAGTTTGAGTCTCATCAAGACGCAAGTTTCAACGGTCTGGAGCAAGGGGGTGTGGCCCGGAAACAGCCCAGATTTGAATCCCCTGGAGAACCTGTGGTCCATACTTAAGGAAAATGTATACAAAGAACCACAACCCCGGACGAGGGAAGAGCTAGTAAAAAAAGTTCAAGATGTATGGAATTCGATTCCCACAGACACATTGGAAAAATTAGCACAGAGCCTTAAACAAAGAGTTGAGGGCATGGTTAAAGTAAATGGTAACAAGACCAAATACTAAGGTAAATATGTCGAACATTTTTTGTAAGTATCACGGGTAGTTTTTTTTATACTAGCCTTCACTTTTTTATAGGAAAAATGGGATCGGACTTTATTAACACCCTTTATGTACATTGGTATGCACGTATGCACTATGAAAGAACACTCTCTGTCTTTGAAGTTGACACGCGTCTTACTTTTGAGATGATACAAATTGTGGGCAACAAGCGTACAAATGTATACGTAACTGTGGCTTACGGACATATGTATGTTAACACAATTTCTGCAATATCCTCTCAATTTTAGAACAGTCATCGGTAGAAATTCTATTTTATCTAGACTAAATAGGTAGTTAAAATTACGCTATTTTATGTACCAGTTTTAAAATCAGCATTTAATTCACAAATTATTTTTTTGCACACTGATTGAACACGATATTCAATACAAAAACTAAATACACAACCATGCATATATTCATCATTTTCTTCCTATCATTACGATCAGTCTACACAGTTGACCAAAATCCCAGTGAAAATCGTCAGTTGCATCACATCCTTACATCATTTCCATCTTGTCTCATATCAATCGTGAACTTCCTTCCGGGCAATTTTCCCACCCGACTTAACACACCAATTCTTCTCTCCGACGGGTACAAGTACCGTCCTACATCCCAAATTTATAAAACACTGCTTTGCTCCAGTAAGTTTATCCTATTTCCGGAACAGAGAAATAACTCTGGTGACTACGGAAATCGGTCGTGGATGACTTTCACGTTGCTAAGAACAGGGACATTTTTCCGTAATGGTCCCTTTTCCCCGAAAGAGTTGGAACGTCCAATACTTAATGAAATAAACCTGAATAACTTGCACCCCTTGAATCTCTTTATAATATCAAGATTAAAATCCCACAATTGGTTCAATGTCACCTTTTCCTACTTGGGGTCATACTTAACGAGATTATTTATACTAAAAGTGTCCCTGAAACCGGCCCAACCGAAAATTATTTTCATCTGTCAAGTCTGTCTGACCAAGGGGTTTATAGCCGTTACGATTTCCCCTGGTAAAATCAACCGTGATTTAAAACATCATCTAGCCCTAGTAGAATTAGAAATTGTGGATAACGGGCGCCTCGCTTTCATCGACTTCGGCTGGATAGGTATCGACATAGATAAGCACCCTCACCTAAAAACATCGACATTATCTCCCTTCAGAGAAATCAAAGAACTACCCGCCGGAAGGTATCGACAGATTCACTTGGTATACAAAATCTTACTGCTGCAGCAAATCCGCACAAATCAGAGTGCTTTAGAAACCTTAATTTCCACATTGGGATATAACTTTACCAAACATATGACTAGCTTAAGAAGACGCCCTACTTCCATCCAATTTCAATTATTCCAATACACTCCACCCCACCTGTCCCAGGCATACATTCCAATTGAAGATGGTTCATACAATTTTATCACGTGCGATGGAATTTCGGTAATTCGGGAGTCCTCAATTTTTATACCGTCCGCCTACACGGTTTCGTTCAGCTGGCATGTTTGGCTCTTATCTTTGGTTGTATTGTTATCCATGCCGGCCATGTCGTACGGAGGGAATCTATTTTCCTTTATTTCCTCCACCCTGGAAAACGGAAGCGGGCTGCGTCGACCCGTTGAATCAAAGCCTCCTCCTTGGCGTCTAAACTTTGAGTACGTTCTGCTCATCAGCTGGTTCATGTATATTTTCTGCCTAAACAGCCTTTACAAGGGCTTCCTCTCAGCGGATGATGTAATACCGTGGCGACCTGTCCTGAACTATCAAGGCATTCGAGACCTTATTAACTTCAGCATAACCACTCCCGCAGTGGAATCTACCTTACCATTTCAGTTCGTTGGAATTGGCTGGACCGAGTTTGGCATGGCGCTTAGGAAGAGGATGCAGGAATCCTGATGCGATGTCATTCCTTGGGTCAAGTGGACACATGGGTTATCATCGCAACAATAAGAGCCAGTTCCTCGATTTTATTTCTAATTGTAGTAAAACTGCGATGATTGTGGAAAATTTGTCGATTGATGCGTATCTACAATTCTTTAATTGGAATAAAGTAGACTGGACGCCGTTTATGAAAGGGAGCGACGAATTTTTACAATTTCGCCGTGGTTGGGTGTTTGATCTGTATGATGGGGCAACTAGTCGGTACCTCTACTTGAAGGGGCAGTATTTAAGTCAGGCTGGAATTTTTGGGTTATTTAAGGAATGTAAGGAAGATGATTTTAAGACTAAATTGGACACAAATTTGAAAAATATGTTTAGCAGGCTACCCCGCTATAAGGATCCCGTTAAGCTGAATGTAAACTTGGGGGGATTGTTCTTTTATGTTGGATTGAGTTATGTATTTGGAGTAGTCACATTATTTGGGGAATACAAATGCACATATTTGGAGAAAACTGCATAAGGAAAGATAATATTATGTAATTGTTGTCCAAGTGCTCAACTCAACTTAGGATCAGTTCAACACTTGGACAAAATAATTGTTCTTCCAGCACGAAAATGCGAACATTACGGTTTAGTAATATTATATTGTGGTAATGAAAAACTCATAAAGACTGAACAATATCAATCCGGAAGGAAATTATAACCAAATCAATATCAGTACATGGTATAAATACATATTTTAGTTTTATTCTTTAAGAGTAAGAATTGTATCGCAGAGTACAGTACTTATTTTTACATCTTATATTTTTAAAAAAGCTAAACGACCAGCGTCTCACAAAATTGCCCTATCGGGCAAATACATACATCAGTACATATGTATGTGAATCGATCAGATTGTTAGCAAGCTAATTTGGTGCTGAGAAAAGCACTTAAATCGTTGCGAACAATGGCGAAGTTTGGCTTGTCGGTTTTGCAGAACAATTCGATAATTATCACAGAGTATGATATAACAATAATTATTGTTATTAATTGAGTTAATTGTTATTAACCGCACCATGCATAACTTACTCAATCCGGCTTATGAGAAGGGTCAACCACTAATTTCAAAATATTTCAAAATTTTGACTTACACATCAAAAATGTATAAATACTTAGGGGGAATACAGGTCAATGCTTTTCGCCACATAAAATTATTGTTTTACCACAAAAAACACATTTACTTTCCCTTTTTTGAACTTCAGCGGCGAAAAAGTTGATTTTAAAAACTTTTTTCAATTGGCAGTTCTTTCTCTCCCCTTGAGTGATTTTATAAAAATACTTTCACTTTTTGATCAAGATTGCATGCATGACCCCCCAAGAATAGCAATTTCTGTTTCGCTGTCGGTTCTGGGAAAACTCTCTTGTGGTGGGCCTCTGTACATATGTAAGTATATACTCATGAACTATTTGTATACCCAAAAAATAAAAATTACGCACTTTACAAATATTAATGGTCTGCATAATTTATTACCCAAATAAATATATCTTTGCATACATAATTATGAGCACCTTGGATGAAATAATTTTAATTCACGAAGTTGTAAAAATCAAAATCATTTTGGCGTTAGAACAATTTCCAATTTTGGTTTTGGCTCCATAACCATCCCGTTAATTAGACTGATATCGTCTCGTTTTTGCGAAGTGGAGACGTGGAACCGGCGAAGGATGTGGGCCAGGCAAGTCTTCATTTGCATCAAGGCATATTTCATTCCTGAAAGGAATTTCTCTGGTCTTTTAAATTATTTAATAGGAATAAGTACTTAAAATAACCTAAATAATTTCTGGGCAATGGATTATTACCGGTAGTAACATATTAATTTAGCAACAAGTATAGATCGGAGTACTCCGGGCTTGGAGTACGTACTCCGGCCTCCGGAGCCCTGAGTACACGACTTTTTTGGAGTACGCTTAGTACGGAGTACGCAAAATACCCGATCTGCCCGATCATCCCAATCGTGGGAACACGCTTGTTACCGGATTACTTATGTAAAACGTCGTGTAAATACGATTATGTATGTACAATTACCCAGACAATTTCTTTGGCCGGCCGCAAATGGGATGTATGCGAATGGATGTCTCGCTGCGCATTCATCGGGGAGAAACCTGTCCGGATTAAAAACTTCTGGATCCGGGTAGTGCTCCTGATCTCGCAAAATTTCGCGAATGAGGATCACAACGCGACATCCTTTCGGTACGATTTGTCCGTTGTCTACATATGTAAGCAAAAAATCAGTTCTAGTATTAGACTAGCCTGAGGTATTTAAAATCATAAGAGCGAAGTTAGGTTTCAGTCTTTACTACGACTGCTCTAGTCAAGTCATCAATATACGACCACTGGATTTATGTATTAATCATTACCGAGAGGAATATCCTCCTGAGCTTTGCGAACCATGACGGGTACGGGTGGGCATACTCTTAACGCTTCTTTGATACACATTTCCAAATACTTCATGCCCGACAAGTCGTTCAATGTGACGTCACGATTTTTGTCGCCCCCAAAAATGGAGTCTAGCTCAAAATGCACTTTCTCTTGAGCGGATGGGTTCAAAGCGAGGAGAAACAAGGTGTAATTCATTGCGCTGGCGGTGGTCTCAAATGCCTAAAATTAATAATTCGCTTTATGGACTTAGCGACGAATTAAAATATTTAATCAAGATTGTAATCTTCGTTTTTAATGAACAACAGTACACGACTATACAGAAATAAAAACTTTACTCACCGCCCCGAATATTGTCATAATGTGGCCAATGATTTCCTTCTCTGATTTTGAATCCAATAAAACATCAATAAAAGCTTTCTGGTTGGCATGGTTTTCACCCGTTTCAGATGAAGATTTTTGCTCTTGCGCCAAAGCAATCTTACGTTTTTCAATTGCCTGTAATTGTAAAATCATGTTTCTTTATATTCAATAAATTTTTCAATTTTGTAAGATCATAGAGTTTTAATCGGAATAAATAGAATGGAATTCTGTCAGATTCCCTGGGATAAATATGTCTTCTAAATATTTTAATTCTTACCTCTGACATGGCCTGGTTTACAAATTGGGAACAAATTTTATCCTGTTTTCCTAACCCAAAGAGGTCCCAAATTTTTGGAGTAATTGCTAACCAAGGTTTCGCGAGTCTCAATCGAAACGAAGTTAGCGCCATGTGTGTCGCTGCTAGAAAGTTGTCTTCATCATTAATCTGATAGGTCGAATCTTGCACAAATGCCGACTCTGAAATAAAATCCATCGTTGCTCGAACCAATTGCGGATAAACGTTTGTCGCTTGGTGTTGGAATTTTGTCAATATTTCCACCAGAGTTTTTGAATGTTTGTTGAAATATGGGAGAAATCCGGTAAGTTTTTGTAGCTTGAAAGAAGGGCCAAGTAATTTTCTGTCGTCTTTCCATAGTTGCCCATTCGAAGTGACGAGGCCTTTGCCGAACAACCATTCGAATTTGGCGTAGGCGCTTCCTTTGTCGGTGCACTTGACGGAAGACAAGATTTTCTGAAAGGGTTATACAATCTTTATGAATTAAAAATTGCGCCAATTGTCTGTGCTATTTTCAAGGATAATCCACAGTCATTCAGTCCGAAATGACGTAATCCTTCAGTTATTTTAATTCAAATGACAGGAAATTCATTTTCATTCACTATCATTCACTGAAATGGGAAAGATGAAGAAGTTGAGTTGCATAAAAATATACTTTGTGCACTCTCACCACCCGATGTGGATAAGAATGATGATCTGTCGTCGTTCCGTTTATATGTTAACTGAACTCGCCTTATCTGCAAACCCTACTCAATGCAAGGGTCAATCAATGTTTGTTTTGCAATTTTGTATAAGAAACTTGCTAAATCAGGAAAGCCATATTTTCTACATATATATAGGAAGTGTTATAATAAATAGGTGTAAAGTGATTATACCAATTTTGTATTCATGATAAATCCATAGCATCATTCGTACATATTTACATGTATAAATAGATTCATGAGCAGCGTTTTGAATAATTAAATTACAAATGCACATATAATTTATGTACATATTTATTTATGGTCAACGCTCATACATATGCATATATCTGGGCGTGCAACAAATTTCGAGGTCAAGAATCGGGTGTCTTAGCCTGATTGACTTCATACGTGGTCAGTAATTTTATCTGTTCTTTTCTGCATACATACATACTTGCAAATATTGGGAAGATGATTTATTTAAGAGACAGCTAGACATACATATGCACAATTTTGATAAGCTTGTCTCCTCTCAAGAGGATGATGTAAACGGCTGGAGCCGTGCAGACTCTGCACTGATAAATATGTCACATTCATTATCCTCTAGCAAGAAATGATCACAAATTGACGATTCCTCGTCTTAAATACTTCGTTCCAGCTAACATGTTCCTCGGCAGACTTTATAAATGCAGGTCATTCATGGTAGAAATCAAGTCACCTTTGTCATCTACACATATACTGATAAAATCCCACCCAAGTTTAACATTGTTTGCATACATTGGCTTCCACACAACTACACAATAATCAATTAATTTAAGATAATGTTTAAATAAGTCTGACTAAATCATGCATTCGCACATGCATGTATCTATGTACTTAATTATTTATGGAATCGAAGAAATGTAACCATCAATCGATATTTAACGTACATGACATTTAATATGACTGCAATAATGCACAGGCATGCATACATACGTGAAACCTTAAGTTTTCAATTTAAAACTGTGTCACGGAAGGTACTACATATACATATGCATGACATTTCGTGACATGGCCGAATTAGCGGGATGACTTTATTTATTTAGACATGGCTCCAATCGAATTTGCTACATATTTGACACGAAATGCCAGAGGAAGTTTACATATGTAAGTACTTTACTTTTACTAATCATGCGACATCCGAAATATATGAACATATAACTCAGGGATTGTAGAACATCTCCGCCAACGAGGTACATATATAAATATTTTAGAGGTGATCACCTCTTAAAAATCACTAAGCACTTACATTATTTCAGATTCTGCAAATGAACACAATTCTTCACAATCAACCTCTGAATATGTTTCACCTCCAGATTTATTCAATATTGTGTGCCTTAGCAACGGCGCATGCACCCATTAATTTGTCATCATTTGCTAAATGTGTTGTACACATAAAAAATTTGCACGCCACAAACTTAACTGGGTCCTACCTAGATTTAGTGAATTCAGTTCTGGAAGGGAACCGGAACTCAATTTTTGTTATTTCCTTGATCCCAAATAACTTTACAACATTCAATGTCGAGTCGGCCATTAATTTCCATGAGGATTGCGCCCTACACGTTCTTCTTCCTTCTCAAAGTAAGCAAGACAAATTTGATTCGTCCAAAATTGGAGGTCACATCAAAACAAACCCAAATTCCTACCGACCTGATAACCACTCCACCATCCTGCTCCTCACAATGATACGAGCAGATAAGCTGCTTACATTTGGCAACTGTGCGTCCAAACAAATTTCTATCCGCATATTTGCACTTTTTCTAAACAAGCGGGATCCTGTTTGGTATTTCTACTGCCATTTGTGCCCCGTTAAGTGGAGAATCATCCCAAAATCTATACCTCTTGGAAATATTGACCAATCAACATTTCGTGATTTTTGGAATCCTAGCAATTCATTTTTCTACCTGGTAACAGCCCCGGTTGAGCTACCGAAACGACTCGAAGGGTGTGAACGCTCCCCGTGGTTTACACCTAAGCGTCCCTGTCATCCTCAATACAGCCTGGCAGACTTTTTGACCTCAGCATTAAACGTGTCATTTCGTCACCATAAGGGTACCAAGGCAAAAATATGCTCTGGAATTTTTACTGCTCGAATCCTCGACCCGAACCTTCCCTTCGACCCGGCCAACATGAATAGTTACAGTTTCAAGCAAGTAATATCCTCCCAATTTCGATACTGTGTCGGTTTTAAGGCGAATGACAAGGGGGCATTATAGTTTTGGGCATGGATAACCCCATACGAGTCCCCGGTCTGGGCCTGCATTCTCGTCGCTATGGTAATATCCGTGATAACCATCACCTTACAAGATAAGGAAACCTTGACTAACAACCTGTTCATCGTCATAGCAATCCATCTCAGGCAAAATTACGGCACTCAGACGACCCTTAAATGGACCCTTCACTTTATAATGATTCTGACTTTGGCCGTTTACGAAACTTACTTCACCAGCCAAGTTGTCGTGCCCCCCGTGCGGGACAATTCCCTCGGGTTCGTCACCCTGCTAAAGAGCGGGTACAAAGTTGCAATTCCCCCTAACACTACCGGATATATGCTCCGATTTGAAGACGACTTTAAGCGGCTTGGAATCCAGACATTGAAGTCTAAGAAGTACACATTTAAACTGAAAACTGGCCAGGCCCTTAATGAGTTACTGTATAATAAATCTCTTAAACTGATGGGGGCAGAAGTCGTACTTCCAACAGACCGCAGAATGCGTACCACCTTTGAAGAATTCAGAAACGCAGACCGGAATAGTTGCAGATTTGCACGGGATACATTTTCTAATCAGGAGACGTACGATCTTGTTCATATCATGATGCGGGGAAAGGCACTAAAAGTGTTACGAGTAACGGCGGAGTCTGGCTTCTTTGAAGGATTTTGGCGAAACATTCGGCAACATTTGAGTTTGTTCAGGATAAAGAGGACGACGAGGAGGATGCTGAGGGAAGGGGGGCATTTCGTGGATTCAAGTGAAACCATAATAAGGCTTAGTAATTTGGAGAGCTTATTTGCCATTTTTGGATTACTGTTGGGGGTTTCTTTACTTGTTTTTATTGCGGAGAGGCTAAGGCGAGTATGCTTTTAAGAGGATGAAACCTTATCAAATTTATGAACAAAATTGTAGGTCATATGTAAATATGGAAGTGGAAGTTTTGGGAAATGAGATCATGTTTTGTGTATTCATTAATAAAATTCATGTACCTTCTTCAAATCTGGAATTAAATAATGGTTTACAAACGCAATTTATTAACCGAACAATTACCAACACCTTAAATAACTTAATTTTACATATACAATTCATGAAGTTGTAAAAACCATAATTACTTCGGTGTTAGAACAATTTCCAATTGTGGTTTTACGTCTAAAGTCAATCCGTAAATGAGACTGATATCCTCTCGTTTTTGCGAAGTGGAGACGCGGAACCTGCGAAGGATGTGGGCCAGGCAAGTCTTCATTTGTATCCAGGCGTATTTCATTCCTGAAAAGAATTTGATAAGTTTTTAAAAATTATAGCTATTATAAGTATAGACCAACAATTTCTGGGTAATCGATTACTATACATTACTACATTTACTTACCTATGCAATTTCTCGGGCCTGCGGAAAATGGAATGTATGCGTATGGATGTCTAGCTGCGCATTCCTCTGGGAGAAATCTGTCCGGATTGAAAACGTCGGGATCCGGGTAGTGCTTCGGATCTTGCAGGATTTCACGGATGAAAACCATAACCTGAGCTCCTTTCGGTATGATTTCTCCGTCGTCTACAAAAAAAACACGTTTTGTACGCATTAGCCTAAGTTGTTTCAAATTATGTAGAAGCTCTAAGTGAGGTTTTCAACAGAAGGGAAGCAGACATCACCAAGCGGCGACTTTACTAGTATATGTACATACATTGACTATTAGTGACATTACCGCCTACGGTGATAAATTTAATAGCAAATTTATCACCGCTCTTGTGATATTTTTTATGTTGTATTAAACATTACCGATAAGTGAATATCCTCCTGCGCATTGCGAGAAACGAGGGGCACCGGTGGGAATATTCTTAACGCTTCTTTGATACACATTTCCAAATACTTCATGTCCGACAAGTCATTCAATGTCACGTCGCGGTTGATGTCCCCGCCAAAAATGGAGTCCAGCTCAAGGTGCACCTTTTCTTGAGCGGAAGGATTCGAAGCGAGGAGAAATAAGGTGTAATTCATCCCGCTAGCGGTGGTCTCAAATCCCTGAAATTATTAGTTTTGAATAACTCTATTTCTAAATTTAGCGATAGAGTTAAACTTTTGTCTCGGGCTATATTAAGTCTGTAATGTGGTTTTTCTTTACAAATAAGAACTCTACTCACCGCCCCGAATATTGTAACAATGTGGGCAATGATGTCCTTCTCTGATTTTGAATCCAACAAAACATCAATAAAAGGTTTCTGAATGGGATAATTTACATCCGCTCCGGACATTCCAGACTTTTCCTCCAGCGCCAAAGCAATCTTACGTTTTTCAATTGCCTGAAAGTGCAAAATTACATTTTTTTAATTCAGTAAGTTTGTCAATTATGTAAGATAAAAGAGGTGCGTAAAATTCTGCGAGATTTCCCCGTGCCCAAATTCTCTAATTGCACTCTTAGAAATCTGGCAGTAACTCTGATATTAGCTTCTCGGTAAAAAAGCTTCTACCGCTTTGTGTTGAATTTATTCCGGTCTATGCACATTTGCTACCAATATGGTAAAAATTTCATACCCAGCTATACATACTACACGATGTTACTTACCAACTCAACTTAGGCAGAGTCATACGGATATATACATAAATACTGGTATTATCAATCCTTACCTTTGACATTGCTTGATTAATCAATTCCGAACAGACTTTATCCTGTTTCCCTAAACCAAAACGGTCCCAAATTATTGGAACAAGTGTTAACGGAGGTATCGCGAGTCGCAATCGGAACGAATCCAGCGCCATGCGTGTCGCTGCTAGGAAGTTGTCATCATTTATCTGAAAATTCGAATCTTGCGAAAATGCCGACTCTTTGATAAAATCCATCGTTGCCCGAGCCAATCGTGGGTAAACGTTTGTCGTTTGATTTTGGGTTCTTGTCAGTATTTCGACAAGTGTTTTTGAGTGCTTGTTGAAAATGGGGAGAAATCCGGTAAGTTTTTGATACTTGAAGGAAGGGCCAAGCAATTTTCTGTCGTCCTTCCATAGCTGTCCATCCGAAGTGATGAGACCTTTGCCCAGCAGCCATTTGAAATGGGAGTAGAAAGATCCTTTGTCGTAGTTGACGGAAGACAGGATTTTCTGAAAGGTGCATACAAACATCTTCAACTGGGTAAAAACAATTGGGTTAAAAGTTGCACAAAGTTGAATATGTAAATAAATTTAAAAGTAAGCCGTGCGCCTCTGAATATAAGAGCCCTCGTAAACAGGGAAATCTTAAATTCTGCACAAAATTTGTGCAATTCGTTACTCGCCACGATATGCCAGTAATTAGATAAGTCTAAATATAAATGTGTTTCCAAGGGTACATTTTTGCCAATAACACCAGTAAAAATTAACAATTACCCAGCCGGTAATGGTTTCTTTAAAGGATTATTTAGAGTGTGGCATTATTTTATAGTTACTTGTGCGCCATCTGCATCCGCAAGTATTACGAGAGCTAGGGGGTTTGGACCCAACCATAGTACAACTCGACGGCCGAACTTGTTAATCAAATTTTCAAAAAGGATAGCAGCATCTGAAATAAATAAACTCGTGAAGTAAATTAACTTCTAAAAATGGTTTCTAAAAATGGCATATACCATCAATGGGACCAAATATGTAAGGAATCGATCCCACGATAGGAAACTTTCCCGGACATGGAAACCTCGCCAACAATCTTGCCTTTCGGGTTAGCGTCATGCAAGCGTACGAGATGCCACAAATTAAAGCCAAAATGGCCAACAGCATGGACAAACCTGAAAAAGAGGAATATGAATAATTTTGTGATAATATTATACCTAACTGGTAGGTAAATATGTACTATGCAATTGATAGGGTCGTGCTCGGTAACAATACGTATTTAATAGATTAACTTCGGGAATAACATGTTAAGAAATAAAAATAATAATAATAATACTTTGAAAATTTTTATGACCACAGCCCACAAGTTTTACAGCGGGTCTCTTCCAACCCGTTGTCCCCATACGAATGTATTATACGCACTTTGCAGAAAGAAGAAAAAACACATCGAAATCTTCGAATTTTCACGTTGATTTTTTTATGGGACTAATGGGACCAACGCGCAGACAGACAGACGGACGGGCCTACGAACATAACGATCTTATTTTAAGAGATTTTACCAGAAATAAATTACCAAAGTTCTCCATAGGAAAGTGCCACGTTATGAAGAGGACGTTGTATGATTAATGTTTGGAAGCTTGAATGAGACTGAAATGCGAAAGTGATGAAGTTTATGTACATGAACATATAGTTTATGTACATATGAACTTTCCTGGATATGTTCCCATAACTGCTGTAAAAACTGTTGTTAAATTGTCTAACAAAGAAAAATACCTCATCGTGTGAACTCGCGTTGCTGCTATATGCAAATCTCGATTACTTAATAAATATGCCTATACATGGAAGTTTTGGAACATGTAATTTGTTCCCTTTCACAATTAAAATCTCTTGTGAATAACATATTGTCCAGGACAATTTGTCCTTCAACTTGCCTAAAGGGCGATTAAAATTCCGAAAGGTTGGACAAAATGCTATTTGAAATAAAAAATTTTATACAATTAATACAATTTTGCATTTTGAGGGCCATGGTTTAGATGAAAGTATTTTGCATTTTGAAGCTAGCGTGTATTTTGCATTTTATATTTTTATGCTTCTTCGAATTTGGGCTGAAGTATGTACATATTTTGTATTTTGATGGGATTCGTGTATTTTGTATTTTGGAATTGTATTTTTCTTAGGTGAGGCAAAAGTAAACATGGGTGCCCGAAAAAAAGTGTCACCATGGTTACGGCGAAGCCTAAGTATGCTTTCGTATACACCCTTTGAAAATGTCAAGAGGGGTAGAGCCTAAACGGTTAAAGATAGCCAAAAAGTGTAAAAGGCAATCGTGCAGAGGAGAATGAGGAGATGATGTTTTACAGCTTTCTCGGTAGAAAAGTTGTATCGTGGGCTCTCTAATCTCGATTTGAAACTTTAGAATTAAAATTTGAGACGCTTGCACCAAACGACTATATGCATGAAACTTGATTTTATCATGCAGAAATCGGTTGTGCATCATTTAAAGCAAATCCGATAGAGATCGGTTTAAAACTGAAAAAGTTTTGATGGAGGCATCTGACACTACTCATGTTGCTAAGCATTATTCATCAGAATTACGATATTCTTAGCTAGTTGCTCTTAACAAGCAGTATAAAAATTTTCTATAAATGGAGCTACAGTCCGTTTACGATATGTCCCTCCACGTCACCATTGCAATCACCAAATTATTTAACCGAATTTCGACCAGTGATGTGAAATATTAAATTAGAGTTTCTGAAACGCGTAGTAAATTAGTTTTTCAACATCCTATGGGTATTTTCAACTGATTTTGTATTTTGTCTTCAGTTTAAAAAAGCTCACAATATTTGAAATATAGTTTAGCAATTTCGACCAGTGTAATGAATTGTCTGAAAATGCATAACCCTTAAAATCAATAAAATAAAATAATTTTCAAAAAGCTAACTTAGGTGAGGCGCTGCTAAAAGTGAAAAACAAGACCTCTGGGGATCTCTTTTAAATATCTCGTCCCCTCATCATTGTAACAGGAATTGGTGGCTTTGCATCACCGCGAGGCCAAACATTTTACGCTAAGCTTCTAACAATCAAAATAATTCCCTAGAGCAAAATCTGGGTTTACGAATTTTTCAAAATTATCATTTATCACATTCTCATTCGTATTGAAAACTAGTTGTGCTATTAAACACAATTTTAAAATATATCCTGGCGTTGTGTCCTCCAAATGTATTCGTCGGCATTTTCGTTTCTTAAATTACAAACCCGAATAAATAATGAGGCACAGCGCATGCCACATAGTCATACATTATTGAATCTTCTTCCCATAAAATTAAGGAATATCTAATAGTTACACCAGTCTTGATAGGATGATACAAACGGTTATTGTATTGAGTTATTTTGAATAGCTAATATTTCAATACATGTCTACTACCGTTGATAACACTATTGATAAAACTATAATTGTTAATGCAGCCATGGGTCAAGATGGAAATACTATTCTTAAATTAACGAACCGAGACAACATTTCTGAAATTCCTCAAACGTGGTTAAAGTGATGTGCATAAGACGTGCGGAAAATTGTACACGTCCTTCAAATTTTATTAGCTGGCTGAAGTCCTGGTTAACCATTGAATTAAATTGTTAGCTATATAAAGATAATTTGCTACTTGGTAAATTATGAATCATTTTCATCCTCCGCAAGTTTTAGTAAACTTAACTCAGGTTTACAAGCCGTCCGAAGCAATAATCGTTTGTTTAAGCATTAATCCATACGTACACATATTGGCACAATTTTAATTTGTAATAAATATCTAAAATTTGTATACTCTTAGCAGCAAATGTAATTTGTGTTTTCGTCGTTGTGTGTAATAAACGGGGTGGCATGTTAATGATATATGGTAAAAATGTTTGGCCTCGCGGTGATGGCAAAGCCACCAATTCCTGTTACAATGATGAGGGGACGAGATATTTAAAAGAGATCCCCAGAGGTCTTGTTTTTCACTTTTAGCAGCGCCTCACCTAAGTTAGCTTTTTGAAAATTATTTTATGAAGATTTACGATAATGTACATATGTATTTTCATTTTGTATTTTGAATTTTGAAGCCATGTATTTTGTCCAACCCTGCAATTCCATACATATGTATGTCATAAACAGTCTTACAATTAGGATTAGTTGCACGCGGAGAGTATCCAATAATATTTTAAAAAAGCTCCCACGCTAAGCAAGTTTTTTACGAGTTTTATTTTCGATACGAGTGAGCAGGCCGTCTAGGTTGTGCAAATCATCAATTCCAACTTCACATAACTATGTATGCATGTATGAATCAAGCTGGTTTCGCGTATCGATCACATTGCTTGACAACCTGTTTTCGCCAGGTTGCAATTTTTTCCCCAACACTTGCTCTTCACTTGGGATTCATCGTGCCTAATTACATATTACGTAATTAATTTATATATCATTTCAAAAATGATACATTGCTGTTTCCTTGGGGTAGCCAGTTTCTAAGTGTATCTAAGCGAACATTTTTTTACCTAGATTGTGCATGTTAAATTAATCTTCCCTACATATGCCAACACATGATGGACCTTAAGTTAAAAGTGTCAAGGAGCATTGAAATTGTTTACAGTATAATGTCCGAAGGGAGCTTGGCAAATTGTTGAATTTTGAAAATAATTGAATTTTCCGTAAGTATGTATGTACTTATATACATAAGTACGTTGGATTTGTTAATACGGAGCAATGAAGTTATGTATGTACATATGTATGCAGTGAAGTGGGTTCACCGTGCGTTAACGATTTGGATTTATCAAAGATAACCGTAGAATTTGCGTAATTTTCAGTGAATAAATAATGCGTAATAAAATTAAGGGGGATAGTGCATAGCCAGATTTACCCAGATATGCCCAACTATCTACATATGTATGTAAATGACGAACTGGAACTACATTTGGAATATTTAATTTAGGCATGCAGTAACAAGAATATCAGGCTTTGTGTAATCGTAAATTCCTCATAATTAATGATACTGTTATACAATTCCAAATCTTGATTGCACCCGTATTAGTATGAGTACCTTGAATTACGTAATTTTACATACATACATAATATATATTTATATGGTTCGTGATGTTATGAAAACCATAATTATTTCGGTGTTAGAACAATTTCCAAATTTGGTTTTAGCTCTAGCATCATCCCGTAAACGTAACTGATATCCTTTCGTTCTTGTGAAGTGGAGACGCGGAATCGGCGAAGGATGTGCGCCAGGCAAGCCTTCATCTGTATTAAGGCGTACTTCATTCCTGAAAAGAATTTTATAAATTTTTTGAAAATTATTTAGTATAAATACTAGGGTTGCCCCGGGTAGTAGCACTACCCGATACCCGGCTACCCGGTACTCGGCCTAAAATGTTTGCCGGGTACCCGGCTACCCGGCCGGGTACCGAGTAATATTTATATATTAAAAATAACAGGAATTTTTCTACTTTTTCTAGAATTTGTCATGAGTTGCCACACCACAATGTCTTATTTATCATCGCAATCATTTAGCAAACTTGTGAGACTAAAAAAATTGAAGGGATTCGAATTTTCGAATCCCCTGATGAAATAAATTTTGCGAGATTTTCGAAGTGATATCTTCCGAATCTATAAAGACGTCTATTTTGTTCTTGTTTCCATCTATTTTCCAAATTTCTCTCGCTGATGAGAGCGAAGACGAGTTTGCGAAATAATCTTGCAAAGGGCAATGGCTTTCTAGCAATAGCTATGAGAAATCTCGCAAATTTCTCAAAACTTCGAAAATTATGCTTAATGTGCGAGATATGCAATTGACTAATTGCAAATTGGTTGACGTGAGTGCGCTCAAAGTAATTTTAAAATTTGTATTTAATTTCCACCTAAGGGTTGTACGACTTTGTATCCATTCTTTCTAAATATGTACATTATTTTATACCAAGTACAAAAAGTGTAATGCATCGGATAATTTTTTGTAAGGTTTTGCATTTCAGGTAAGAAAATTGAATATTTAAATTACCCGGCCGGGTAGACCGGGTACTTAAGTATACCCGGCCGGGTACCGGGTATCCAAAAACAGGCCGGGTTCGCCGGGTACCGGGTAACTACCCGGTACCCGGGGCAACCCTAATAAATACCTACAATTAGCCAAAAAAAAATTCTATGTAGGTAACCGCTTATCAGTTCGTGGCTTGTATCATGTTAAAAAATTTCTTATTATAATTGTCCTCCAGTATAACAAAAATTATCGATGCGTGGGGATTAAGCAGGACTATTATCACATGGTGGTGCTAAATCGGATGTAACTAGGTTACCACAAGCATGCACATAATTCGAGGTGAATTATTCACCATCATATCGGTATCATCAGGGGACATATGTACTTATATCTATCACCACCAACTGGTAACAACTCAAAGTGATTTCTTGAAGTGTGGTGCAAATAAGGCTGCAAAATTACCCAGGCAATTTCTCGGGCCTGCGGAAAATGGGATGTATGCGAATGGATGTCTCGCTGCGCATTCATCGGGGAGAAACCTGTCCGGATTAAAAACTTCGGGATCCGGGAAGTGCTCCGGATCTCGCAGAATTTCGCGGATGAGGATCACAACCTGAGCTCCTTTTGGTACGACTTATCCGTTATCTAACACCAAAATAAGATAAATAGCGCCAAGTGAGTCTTGTCTTAACTGTCACTAAAATTCATATTTGATCGGATTTTTATACATAAATCGTACATACTTATTTACATATTCTTGGCCAAGACTCTTTGTCAAACTCAACTTTTTTTAAATTTAGAATTTTTTGAATAATTCATAGGCAATGAGAGTTTTATATAAATTTTCAAAAAAGTTGGGATGTCTAAATATGTATTAAATCTGATGAAGCAAGTATCACAGAAATGTTAAAATTATCAAAAGTCGAACAAAACTGGACTTCATGTGCAAGTTTAAAGGTGGTAATTTGTCTCCCCTCATGAACTTTTTACCAGCGTACCCAATGGTCGCGGAAGCGTGGGGACAGCGAGGGACAATGGTCCCACGGTTATTCGATGGATTTGCGGACGAAAGCCACACATCAAAAGCTACTCAACAAAAGTCACTTTCCATAAGCCACACGAGGAAATAAGCTATTTCTAGGAAAAACTAATCATCATTGATAAAACCTACCAAGCAACTTTGCGTGGCATATTAAAATGACATTATTCAATGAAAGTCAGACCCGTAATATAATTTCGTGATATATTATTAGTGCAGTGCATATAATCAGACCAAATTCTAGCTGAGGTTGAAAATTAGTGCTGTTGACGAGCTTGAACTGTGCCGTGCGGCAGACATGCGCTGTGGACTCTAGAAATAAAATTCGGGTGGTCTAAATTTTTTAAGTTGACAGAAGCTATCTACATATCTAATTACTTTTGTAAAAAAAATCACTTCATGCATTTCAGACTCATTTAAATTTCACGAGAAAAATGCAAATTTTCGGTCACTTATACAATCATACCTTTGTTTAAACTGAGCATTATGAAAAATCCCGAAACATGTGTTCAATTATTTACTTAAGGCTACATAATTATCGCAGTTTCATCAAAATAGGAGCGAGACTGCTGGCATCATCGCATTGTAAGCAGAGTCGAAACCCAATTTTATTAATAAAGATGATGAAAAGAGTAGCTTTTCCTAGAAATGGCTTATTTCCTAGTGTGGCTTATGGAAAGTGGCTTTTGTTGAGTGGCTGACCTCCGTATACCATTCGATGAGATCATCATCATCTGTACATATTATATAAACCCCCCCTCCGTTTTCCATCAATGTCAATGTCCCCCAGATGTCCCCACCGCCTCTGCGGCCAGTATGCGTACCAAATTTTATGTTATGTTAAACCCTACCGAGAGGAATATCCTCCTGGGCATTGCGAGCAATGAGGGGTATCGGTGGATATATCCTTAACGCTTCTTTGATACACATTTCTAAATACTTCATGTCCGATAAGTCCTTGAATGTGACGCCGCGGTTTATATCCCCGCCAAAAATGGAGTCCAACTCAAGGTGCACTTTTTCTTGAGCGGAAGCATTCAAAGCGAGCAGAAACATCGTGTAATTCATCCCGCTGGCTGTGGTCTCAAACGCCTGAAATTAATAGTTTTTTAGAAATTGATTTATTTAGGGAATTTCTGACTTTGGCCATATTACATAAGTCTTCAATGTGACTTTTTTCTCCACAAATATCTGCACTGTACTGGGGACGTTCGTAAACTTCATAACGCAAATTTTTGATTTTTTGGACACCCACCCACCCCCTTTAATATGTGTCACATAGGCACGATATCATTGGGCCCCGAATACTGTTACAATGTGGCCGATGATGTCCTTCTCTGATTTTGAGTTCAGTAGCACATCTATAATTGGTTTTTGTATGGCGCAATTTTCGTTCGATTCAGGAATTGCACACTTTTCCTCCAGAGCCAAAGCAGTCTTACGTTTTTCAATGGCCTAAAATTGTAAAATTATTCATAGATAATTTGGACTAAACATTATTTATTTAAGGTAAGAAATGAAATTCTGACAAATTTTTTGGGGTAAACAAGGCATCCCTGATAATTGTTACCTCCGACACTGTTTCGTTAGTCAATTCTTTGCAAATTTTATCCTGTTTTCCTAATCCGAAACGGTTCCAAATTAAAGGAGAAAGTGTTAACCAAGGTCTCGAGAGTCTCAATCGAAACGAATCCATCGCCATTTGTGTCGCTGCTAGAAATTTGTCGTCGTCGATAGTTTGAATCTTCTGCAAATGCTGACCCCGAAATAAAATCCATTGTTGTTCGAGCCAATCGCGGGTGGATGTTTGTCGCTTGACATTGGAATTTTGTCAGTATTTCGACCAGCGTTCTTGAGTGTTTGTTGAAATATGGGAGAAATCCGGGAAGTTTTTGATGACTGAAGGAAGGACCAAGTAATTTTCTGTCGTCTTTCCATAGCTGCCCCCTCGAAGTGAGGAGCCCTTTGCCCAAAAGGCATTTGAATTGGGAGTAAACGTTTCCTTTGTCGATGTGCTTGACGGAAGACAGGATTTTCTGAAAGGGTTGGTTATATAAATGGTCTTTTATAAGATTAGTTTCTCAGAAGTTGAGAATTCTGAGAAACTACGCCAATAGCAGTCTCAAAGTTTTCCGTCAGGATTATTTGAGGGAACTTGAGACTGGCAGTGCCGTATTTTCCCAGAATTCTCAATTTCTGTAAAAGTTCAACTCTGGATGGAGAGTAGTTACTTGTGCGCCATCTGCCTCCGCCAGAATTACGACAGCAATTGGCTTTGGACCAAACCATATTGCGACTCGACGACCAAACTTTTGAATCAAATTTTCAAAACAGATGGCAGCATCTGTAATAAAGATTCAAATCGTTAAAATTTTGTAAAATTGTCTTACCTTCAAAATCTTACCATCAAGCGGACCAAATATGTAAGGAATCGATCCCACGATAGGAAACTTTCCCGGACATGGAAACCTCGCCAGCAATCTTGCCCTTCGAGTTAGTGTCATAGAAAGGTACGAGATACCACAAATTAAGGCCAAAATTGCAAACGGAACGGATAAGCCTGAAAATAAAACAGAAGTTGTCTAACTCGGTGTTAATATTATAACTGCTGTAGGTTAATACATACTATGAAATAGATAGTACCGTGACCGGTAACAATCGTACCAAAAAATTATCAAGGGTGAATGTATTATTCTCTATGTAGCAAAGTAGGATTAAAATTTCTAAATAATAAGTAAATAAATTACCCAAGTTCTCCATTCTGTCAGTGTCATGAAAAATAATTGTGTGATTATTGTCTGGAAGCTTTGATGCGACTGAATTGGGAAAGGTTATGAATTTGAGACACAAATGTAAATTATGCACTTTCCTGCTCACGACGTTGGACGTGGTGAGGGATGAATGTTATCTTTAACTCATTCAACGGTTAGCAGGCCTTATCCTGGTTGTATGGATATTTCGTAACATTTATGCAATTTGGGTTCTCCCATAATAAGAATGTCTTGTAAAACTAGTCGATAATATGGTTTGATAACATGTTGTCGTTAAAGCTGCCGAAAGAGCAGAGTGTCTTTTACACTCACAATATTATTTTTATGCATGTATGATGCATAAAAGTTTATACATATTTGCATGAATGCATAAAAACGCATCAAAATCCATGAAACCCAATTTATGCCGAGAATTTAATATTTTCAAAAATTTGCATATTTTCCTCCCCCATCAAATGTGGGTAAGATTCGGTTATCTAAAATTGTATGCTGGTTTGAAACATTACAGCATAGCTTTTTATCCCGGGTGAGGGCGTCGTAGTCCGTCTGTCTATCGATCACGCTTATAAAATTAAACGTATCGACTTTAAATTTTGTGCACACACAAATTTTGTGTGACACAATGAATAACATAAAATTAGTATAAAAACTTAATATATTTTTCATATTAAAAATCGAAAATAATTTCACACTAAAACATTAAAATGATAATGTAAATACAACAATTTATCAATTAATCAAATACTTTTATTTGTATTGAAATTATTTTTGTGCATTTCGCTCATTTCCATGCACTTTTCCGGAATTTTGATGCGTGTTATGACACGTTTAAAAACATTTTCGTGCACTAATTTCGTGCAAGAGTAAGAACAATCTGAATAAAATCGACGACGTGGTCAGTAAATTTATCGCTTCTTTTCTGCATACATATGTGTCAATGTATGTATGTGGGTAATTTTTGTGTGTACACAAACAACAGCGAAATATGCATACATCTATATGCGTACATAAAATAAATATATATGTAAATTGCATGCACTTCATTCATGCATGGATAACGAGCAAATTTGGGAAAATGATGTAAGAGGCCTCAACGCGACTCAATTATTCTTAACTAAAGCAGTCCAGACTCAATCGCATAAATGCGTCAACATTCAAATTAACCTTTGACACGAAATGATCACGAATTGATGACTACGCGTCCTCGTATTGTAATCTGCAGCATTTTACTCCGCAGACTAGCAGCAATAGGGGGGGGGGCTATAACTAAGGGAGCTGGAGCCCCCTAACCCACATGGCCCGGAAACAATTAATAAAAGTCAAAGCTAAATAGTTTACAAAATTTAAAAACTATAAGTTAGGTTACAGATGAAAATTACACGCTGTCTGTTAGAATAATAATTTAATTGAAAGTAGTAATTTGAAGGCTACATAAAAAGGGTGGTCCAATGATTTATGTACATATCTATTTTTTGACAGATGGTGTGGTGTTTTTTGTGCTGTAACGATTTGGATATGTACAAAATCTGCAACATACGTACGTAGATTAAGATTTTCATATGTACATATGTACGTTATTTTTAGTGGATAAAAAATCCGTGGCTGAAATTCAAAATCAAATCTGTCCCGTTTACTTCGAGAATTCACAATAGCCAGTTTTCGAGACACATTCCCAACTTTTTGATTTTTTTTTGCGAATTTGAGATACAAAATTTTATAAAGTAACAACAAAATCATGCTTTGTGTAATCAAAAATTTCCCGCATTTGAGAAAATTACTGTACATTTTCCAAATCTTGAATGCAATAATGGTGTACACAATTTATTAATTACGAGCACCTTTAATAAATTAATTATAAATACATAGTTTGTGGACTTGTAAAAATCAAAATTATTTCGGTGTTAGCATAATTTCCAATTTCGGTTTTGGCTCCATAACCATCCCGTAAAGGAGACTGATATCCTCCCGTTTTTGCGAAGTAGAGACACGGAATCGGCGAAGGATGTGGGCCAGGCAAGCCTTCATTTGTATCAGGGCGTACTTCATTCCTGAAAAGAATTTCATTGCAATTTTAATTATTCTTCGTAGAAAGACTTACAATTAAACGGTCAACTTATGTATGCGTAATCGGGTGGCAACGTGGTAAAAGTTCGTATTACATTTAGCACACTCTAAAAAAAATTGTAGTCCCGATTATGTATCGCTATGTGATTGAATGTGACCACTGCATGGTGACGTTAGGTTACAGCTTGGTCACCACATGGAAATAATTCACCACCATAGGTGACATGTAGCAACAAGAGGATAGACGTAAAAACCCAGCATCACGTTTGTCACCGGATTTCTTAGAATGTTGTGTAAATTTTTATGATTACATATGTATGTACAATTACCCAGGCAATTTCTCGGGCCTGCGGAAAATGGGATGTATGCGTATGGATGTCGAGTTGCGCATTCGTCGGGGAGAAATCTGTCCGGATTAAACGCTTCTGGATCCGGGTAGTGTTTCGGATCTCGGAGTATTTCGCGGATGAGGACCATCACCTGAGCTCCTTTCGGTACGATTTGTCCGTTATCTAAATAAGAAAAAAATCATTTTTGGTATTAGCCTAAGGTATTTCAAGGTATACACGCTTTGCAATTTAGAAATATTTCATTCCATGTATTCTAATCGGCAGCAAGGTCTCACAAAGCGTTTACTATAGTACATCCTTCTCTGCCACCATGGGCATATATTTGTTACCGACTTATAAAAAATTTATTACCGCACCAGGAGTCTTTGTACTGCACGGTTGTAGTTATACCGATACATAACCAATGCAATAAAAAATTATCACCAGGTAGCAAATTTTTCATTATAGCTGTCGACTCATATTCTCCGACTGGTGAAGAATTGTTTTCATATTCTTCATCAGCGTGTAATATACGTACTATTTTGCCAGAATAGTAATAAAGTGTTACCGAGAGGAATATCCTCCTGAGCATTTCGAACAACGATGGGTACGGGTGGGTAAATTCTTAACGCTTCCTTGATACACATTTCCAAATACTTCATGTCCGATAAGTCATTCAATGTGACGTCACGGTTGATGTCCCCGCCAAAAATGGAGTCTAGCTCATGGTGCACTTTTTCTTGAGCGGTTGGATTCAAAGCGAGGAGAAACAAGGTGTAATTCATCCCGCTGGCTGTGGTCTCAAAGCCCTAAAATTATTAGTTCTTAATAAATTTAGAGATGAATTATTCATCGCTAGATGAATTTAAATTTTTGATCAGAACAAGTCTGAAATGCCAGTTTTTCTCTACTCACCGCCCCGAATATTGTCACAATGTGGCCGATGATATCCTTCTCTGATTTTGAATCCAGGAGCACATCTAGGAAAGGTTTTTGGATGGCGTAATCTTCATCTGTTTCGGACATTCCAGACTTTTGCTCCTGAGCCAAAGCAATCTTACGTTTTTCAATTGCCTGAAATTGTAAAATTATTTATTACGTTGTACTAAATATTATGTAAAAGAGGGTTATATAATGGGCAGAATGCAATCTTATCAAATTTTGGCGGGTAAAACATGACGTAACTGATATTTCTTACCTCCGACATAGTTTGATTAGTCAATTCCAAACAAACTTTATCCTGTTTTCCTAACCCAAATCGGTCCCAAATTATTGGAATAAGTGCCAACAATGGTCTCGCGAGCCTTAGTCGAAACGAATCCAGCGCCATGTGTGTCGCTGCTAGAAATTTGTCTTCGTCATTTATCTGAAAATTAGAATCTTGCGCAAATGCCGACTCTGAGATGAAGTCCATCGTTGCTCGAGCCAATCTCGGGTGAAGGTTTGTCGGTTGATGCGAGATTTTTGTCAGTATTTCGACCAGCGTTTTTGAATGTTTATTGAAATATGGCAGAAATCCGGTAAGTTTTTGATACTTGAAGGAAGGACCAAGTAATTTTCTGTCATCTTTCCAAAGCTGTCCATTCGAAGTGACGAGACCTTTGCCGAACAGCCATTCGAATTGGGAGTAGGCGACGCCTTTGTCGATGTATTTTACGGATGACAGGATTTTCTGAAAGGTTGATACAAACGTTACACGATTTAAGAATTATACAATTTTCGTAGACTCGTATGTCAAGAGGGCCGTTCATAAATTATGCAAGGCGAGAGGTGGGGATGTAAAGCGCCAAAGATATTGTACATATGTAGATATAGTCATTTTTAGACATGATGAATTTTTTTTACTTGTTGGTAGCAGCATTATTATGGAATTATTGGTGATTTAAATAATTACCTGTGCACCATCTGCCTCCGCCAGTATTACGATAGCAATCGGCTTCGGACCCAACCATATTACGACACGTCGGCCAAACTTTTTCACCAAATTTTCAAAACGGATAGCAGCATCTGAAATTAATAAACTCGTGAATTAAATTAACTCATTAAAATATTGTTACATTTTCTTTCTAAAAATATCATATCTTACCATCAATCGGACCATACATGTAAGGAATCGACCCCACAATAGGAAACTTTCCCGGACATGGAAACCTTCCCAGCAATCTTGCCTTTCGGGTTAATGTCATATAAGCGTACGAAATGCCACAAATTAAGGCCAAAATGGCCAAGAGAATGGATAAACCTTAAAGAAAAGAGCAATTTTAATAACTTTATGATAATATTACAATCGCGGCACGTACTGCATATGTACATATTTACATAAATATACATTAAGAGTGAATAATTAATTAAGGTAATTAAACTAACAAAATTAGTAATTAGGGTAGGACTAAAATTTCTAAGTAAATAATAAATATGTGAATTACCCAAGTTCTCCATCCGGATGGTGTCACGTAACTTGACGTAACGAAAAATAAATGTGTGATTAATGTTTTGGAGCTTTAATACGACTGAAATATGAAAGATGATGGAATTGACTTATAAATAAATATAATTTGTGCACTCTCACGCTCACGCTCAGGATAGAGAGAAGGATGACTGTTATCTGTGGCCATTCACTGATCAACTCGTCTTATCTGCGTTCCTGCCCGATGCGATGCAAAGGTCAATCAATAATTATCGATGTTACGGTACATACGGGATTTGTACTGTTGCATTTCATAATATTAGATAATAATTCCTTGTAGATAAAACAAATATGGTAATGCAGACGTGTATGTATGTACATATTTGTACTCTAACAATGACTATGCATGAATTGTTTTCTCCGATTTTTACGAAGTACGTTTTTAATTACTGATAATCACGCCAAAAAATGACATGGCTCATATAGCTTTCTTCATAATGTGTGCATTTTGGGCTGGGCTTATCCATTTTTCGTGATGCATACCAAACTTTCATGTTTTGCTAATCTGAGACATTTAATTAGAGAAGATACATAAAATCATACATTGTCAAAAATTGTATACCTATAAATAATAACCATACCCTGGCTTATTTATTTATTTATGACTTTTTCATTTCGAGCACGTCAACCCCCAAACTTTGTAGGGTTGTTTATCAACACTTGTGGTTATCAAAAATTAAAAAATATGTGCCGGAGAAGTTCATGAACATGTGTCGTTTTTTTCGCGTTGTATGTAATAGTAATTCAATGACTCTAATGAACTTCTCAATTTGCACTAACTATGTACATAAATGACATCGAGAGTTAAAAATAAATAAATAAATACAAATAAAATTGTTTATCAAGAGGGTGGTAACAAATTTACTATGGCTCGGTAACAAGTTTAATAGTATACATACATTAATCTGTACCACTAATAATGTTACTTACCGTATTACTTATCGACACTTAAGGGCCGTTCATAAATTATGTAGAGTAAAAATCACGATTTTCTAGACCCTGCTTTAACATAGGCAGGATATTTATCACTGACACCTTAAACCCCCACCCCCGTCCCGCCTTACCTAATTTATGAATGGCCCCTTAGTGATACCTGATAAATCAAATTCTAAGAATTATTCGTGCCCTACTCATGGAAATTTTTTGCCCAATTTCAAGACAAAGAAATCTCATGCATCCAATTTATACGTGACACTTAATCGTTCCACTTGACTTTTATTGTCAACATTTACATACCTTTTATAAACACATGCTCCTCCCACCGCAGTGAAGGCGAGGACAAACAAGGCCCCTACACAGAACAGAATTGAATTGAAGTTTTATTATACTGATTTATATGAACAAGTGATACACGTAATAATGACCAAGATTAGAGAAGATAGCTCTAACTTAGCAATATAACTTACATACAAACAACATGTCATGTTTTAACAGTTTACACCCTATTTAAGCCACTACTTCTAATTTTATTTAAACTTAATTATTGATTAGCGATAGAATAGTATCAATTTTATAACCAAACACAGATCCACTCTCTTTATACTCTGAATTAATTAATCTTATTAAAGTAGGTAACGTAGAATTGGTATAAAACTCATTTTTAATCAATGGCTGATAAATTACATCCTTCTTATTTCTCAAATTCACGCCACATTCATTTTCCCTTAACGGAGGCAAGAAAAAATTGTACCTTCCAGTAATTAACTTAAATCCAAAAGATTTTAACATATTTAGCCTACGATTTTTTAGTGACTCTATTTTACATTGAGAAAGAGCGTCATCATAATTTTGACTGTCAACCCTTTTTCTCAATATAATCGACAATGCCCGTTTCTGGACACGTTCTAATTTATTACATAACAATGAACTTAAATTTGGGCCCCATAAAACACTACAATACTCTAGATTAGATCTGATGTACACAGTGTACGCTTGCACAAGTTCAGTTAAGCTGAATCCAGTTGCGAGCAATTTCCTCAATTTGAATAATTTACTATTCGCACCGCTTGTAATTTTGCTAATGTGTAGATCCCAATTATATTTTCTATTTAAATAAACACCTAAAATTTTTATTGAATTAACAATTGGGATTTTTACATTATTTACGTAAAACTCAGGGGAAAAGGTTACTTTCCTACCACCAAAGTTAATTACCATAACTTCGCATTTATCCGGATTAGGCCTCATTCGAATCTGACCCGTAACTGAACTTAAGGAATTTAAGACCCTTTGCGAATTCGGTAAACTATCTATCACTCTTTCGACTAAAACAAGATCATCCACAAAGCTACCTAAGCAAAAATTAGGATCATTTTTTAACTCAGATTCTAACGCCTTTAAAACCACATCCATAATCAAAATAAACAATAATGGAGCTAATTTTGTACCTGCGGGTGTTCCACAAGTTAAGTTTTTGATATCAGATAATATATTCCCATTTTTTACAATTTGGCCTCTATTTCTCAAAAATGACAATAACCACAGAATGTCTATTTCAGCCACTCCGTAATCTAGCAAAATCTGACCTAGAATTTTATGATCCACTAAATCAAATGCCTTGAACGTATCGACCGCTGTCACGACCACGATCGCACCGGGGGTTTCTAGAGATTTTAATATAAATTCATTAATTTTAACCATGTCACCATGAATTTAACCATGAATTTTAACCATGAATCACTGCCCAAACCGGTGTCGAGACGAGTGATGACGTATCGTCATGTCCACATTTTTCTTTGTCCACTACTTTCACTTGGTCGTCATCGTCACACAACTTGATGGATTTCGGGGGAACTGGAATCGTAAGGTAGATAAGTCTCTGAATAAAATATTATATTGGTTTCTTTCCCGTTTGAAGGGTGTAAAAGCCCTGTTTTTCTTCACAGTTCGCCAGTCCGTACAAGATAACGCATTGTCCGTACGTTTATACGGCTGCATACTTGCTATCGTTGGCCAAAGAGACGCAGCCATTGGTAAGATTAAGATTGATGGAATAATGCAATAATGGTCAACAACAGCAACCACGGTGCAGATATCATCACACATTAGGCCATACTAGTGAACAATGCCGAGTTTTGAATAGAGTCTCACATTCCCCGAATCCTCCAAATCAGGGAAATAGTCGCAATCATCAGCAGCAGCCTAACAATCAACAACAGTACAACAATAACCGCCCTGCATACAATAACCACAACAATCGCAACAACTACAACAATGGTAACAATGCAAACAATGGGAACAATGCAAATTACAACAATGGGAACAATTACAATCGCAATAACAACTACAATCGCAACAATCGTGGACAGCAGCAACAATACAACCATGGTGGACAACAACAACAATATTCCAACAATTATGGACTACAGCAGCAACAATACATCCCTCCTCAACAATACAACCCTCCTCAACAATGGAACAGCAGCAACAATCAACAGCAACAACACAACCCTGCTCTCAATGGACTTTTTGAGAGTGGATCTTCATCACACTTTGAAAATTCGGAAAACTAATGGGCCTGGAAACGCGGGTTCCCCAGGCCAAATTAATCTCACATTTCCCCCAAACTTTCACACATCCATTTCCTCCTTTCACTACTTCTCCTCCTCCAAATAAAAATAAGCCGTTTGTTACTTTAGACGATATTTGCCGATTAGATTCTCTTCAAATTAGGAATAGGTGTCTTTCCTCAGCTGGTGCAACGATTGCGTCAGTCCCCTTTACGAATCATTTAGGAGAAAAATTTCCCCTTCGTTTTTACGATGAGCCAAAAGACTCATTACGTATTACCCCTGTATTACCCCTGTAGAAATTGAAAATATTGTGAAAATCGCTCTTCATGATACTGGTGCAGGGATTTCTGCAATAAACCCTGATATTCTCAAGCTTCTTTCATGCAATTCTGTGCATCGGATTTCGCCGTGTATTCCGTTTAGGATCCGAGTTTCTGTGAATAATGAGGATGTTTATTATATTAATAGTTCAGCCGAAATTGTAGTTACTTTGCAAGGTCGTAGATTTTTATGGAGATTTTTTCTGTCCAAATTTAGCACATGATGTTGTTTTTGGTACCGATTTTCAATATGCATACCACATTACAATAGATGTAAGGCGTAAAAGACTAAATTTTGGTGTTAGTGATGAAATTTTTGATCGAAAATGGTGTGAAAAAATCCCAATCTCATTTCACCCCATCATGGTAGGTAGTGATCCTAACTTATATACCACTGAAGTGTTTCAAAATCCCACTCCATACTTCCCACCACGATCTAACACACCACCGCCGCCTTCACAATTAACTTCTTTGTATGTGCAACCCAAAAAATCTGCAGAAAATCCCATTTTTTTCGAAAAATACTGAAAATCCTCCTCCCCATGTTAATAAGAATAGGGAGCAAGTCAAAGTTAACGAAACTCATCCGCCACTTCCTAAACCTATTGTAAACGCTCACGTAACAGCACGAAATCCTCCTAAGCCGAAAAAAGCCGAGAAAATTCCCATAAAACCTCCAAAAATTGCCGTTTTTCCTCCCCATGTTAATCATATGGACGATTCCACAGCCGACAATACAACGCACAGCACGTTTTCCCTTCCCAATTCTGATTTTGAGTCAATGCCGAGTACTATTACTGCCGAGGAAGTTGTTAAAATTAGTCGCACATGTTATATTAAGCCGAATTCCATGCGTAGAATAGACGTTTTTGTTAATAGTACGTTTTCTGGCGATATTCTCATTTTGCCCCGTCGTGAATTAGAACGTAGCAAACATGTAGCTATTGGTAAAACTATTATTACGCTTTAAAATGGTACTGGTTCTACTTATATCGCTAATTTAACCAACAAACCTGTAAAAATATGTCAAAATACTCCTATTGGTAGTTGTGAAGAGTTTTCAGACTCTCAAATTCGCTGTAATCTAGACGATTTAGAACGTGTAAGGTTAGAATCACTACTTTCTATGCATAAAAATCCTGAAAATGAGTCTCCTGACGACTTTAATGCCGAAAATAATGCCGAAAATCCTCCTCCCGAGTCCCTATCTCACGTTAGAACTGGTGAAAATCTTTCTTCAGAGCAGAAACACGAACTAGAAAAACTTTTGTTGCATTATTCCGA